CTCAGTGATAAGGAACCTAGTACCAGGGATGAGGGGGATTTCAATTTCCAACTGCTCATTTCTAATAGACGAAGCCACAACTCATCCTGATGAATTAAATTTACTGTTAGTTCTAGTAGCATTTTTAGAGATTCCTTAAATTTTCCAGAGATGATCACATCTGTCTGAAATCACTAGGTTTCTTTTTTTTCAGTTGGTATGTCTTTTATTTCTTTTTTTACTTTACTGTATTGGTTAGACCCTCTAGTACAATGTGGAAGAAGAGTGGTTTGTATGGATACTTTCCTTGTTCCAAATTCTAAGAGGAAAGTAAATAGTCTCTTATCATTGAGTGTAGTATGAGTTAAGATTTTTGTAGATGTTCTTTATCAGACTGAGGAAGTTTTCTTATTTTCCTGATGCAGAAAGATTTTATCATGAAAGAATACTGGTTTCTATCAAATATTTCTTCTGCATAAATTGAGAACATAATCTGTTTTTTTCTGTTAATACAATGACTTACGCCAATGAATTTCCAAATGTTAAAGCAACCTTGTATATCTGGGATAAAACTCAGTTAAGATGTATTATCCTTTTGTTATACTGTTGGACTTGATTTGTTAACGTTTTATTAAAAATTTCTACATCTGTAGAGCGTGGAGGATTTTTTTAGGGCAGTGGAAATATTCTTTGTGATGCTATTAATGGTAGATATATGCCATTACACATTTGTCTAAACCCACAGAGTGTATACGTTCAACAAGTGAACCCTAACAAAACTACAGACTGGATAATTATGATGTGTCAATGTAAATTCATCAACTATAACAAATATACCACTGTGATAGTTGATGGGGCTGTGCAAGTATGGGGACAGTAGCATATGAGAAATCTCTGTAGCTTCCACTCAGTTTTGCTATGAACTCAAAACTGCTCCAGAAAATTAATTTTTTTTTTTTTTTTTTTTAAGATAGGTCTCACTAAGTTGCTTAAGAGCCTCACAAAATGCTGAGGCTGAAATTAAACTTGTGGTTCCCCCTGCCTCATGCTCCACAGCTGCTGGCATTATAGGCATGTGCCATTGCACCCAGTTAGGAAAAAAAGGCTTAAGAAAGAAAGAAAAAAAAATATGCAACTGTGTTCATGAGAGAGATTGTTTTTATCTGGTTTTTATATCCCATAATGCTGGTCTCATACAATGTGTCAAGAAGTATTCCTTTTTCTTAACCTTCTGTAGGACTTGAGATAGAACAAAGATTAATTCTTTCTTTAAATGCACGGAAAGAATTCACGAGTGAAGAGTCTGGGACCTGCATTTTCTTCGTGGGAATGTTTTTAACTACAAATTCAATCTTGTAATATATAGGGCTACAATAGTTATTTATTTCTTCTTGAGACAAGTGTAGCAGTTTTGTGACTTTTAAGGAATTTGTCCTTTTATCTAATTTGTCAAAAATTTTGACACAAAGTTGTTGATCATATCTCTTAATATCCACTAATGTCTGTAGTATCTGTAGAGCTATGTATCTCTCACATTAAGTTCTCCTTTGCTGCCCTTTGGTCTGGAAACTCTCCAGGTCATAAACTGCAGCAATCACAGGGCTCAACTTGTTTTCCCCCCTTCTTTCATGATCAATGCCTTTTGCTGCCAACAACTGCTTCATATATTTTGTCATATTTTTTAGTGGCTTATAGTGAGAGGGTAAATATCATGCTCCCTGTTATTTCAGCATGACCAAGAATGGAAGCTTTATCTTTTTTAAAAATATTTATTTTTTAGTTGTAGCGGTCAATACTTTTTTTTATGTGGTGCTGACGATTGAATCCAGGACCTCATACGTGCTAGGCGAGCACTCTACCACTGAGCCATAACCCCAGCCCCAAGCTTTATCTTTTTACTATGAAAAATTTCAAACATATAAATGTAGATAATAGTATAATAAACCTTCATGTACTTAGCATTTAGCTTCTACAATTCTCAATCCATGACCAATACTCCTTTCCTACATGAACCCCTCTCTAGACTGTTTTAAGTGATCTCATATATCTTCCAATTTCTCCTATAAATATTACAGCAATGTATGTCTAGAAGATAAACTTTTTAAAACTCCACAACCATAATACCATTATCAAACTTAAAACGCCATCAATAATTCTAGCATCGAACACTGAGTCAGTATTCATATTCTTCTGAACTGTTTTTATAGTTGATCTATTCAACTCAAGATTAAAATTAGGTCTACACATTACTTTTAGTTAACTTTGGGTTAACATGGTTTTTAAGTCCTCTTAAACTTAGTTTACTTTTGTCCTTGAAACTTATTTTAGAAACTGCACTGTTCAATAAAATAGGCATCAAAAAGCACTTAAAATGTAACTAATGTTATACTGAGGAGTTGAATTTAAAAATTTTAATTTAAATTAGCAACTGACATTTGTTCCAGCTATCAGACATGTTTAGAGCAACTTGGGTATAAAAACCAACTTTTGCAATTGTTAAGTTTTATCAAATACAAATTCAGATAAAATATTTTTGATGAAAATTATCATCTGACTTGAGATGTATTAAGCATAAAATCAATTATTTTGAAGACTTAGTATGACAAGGAGATACAGAACAGGTAATTAATAAATTTCCTATAAAGCCAAATATACTTTTATAACTAATTTAATCTATTTCTTTTTACTTTCTAAAATTTGGCCATTAGAAAGAGTATAATTACACATAACATCTTACATTGTATTTCTATTAGAAAGTTGTTGTTTTTTTAAGCTTCAGGAGTTTTTTTTTTTTTTAACTTTATTTTTATGTGGTGCTGAGGATCAAACCCAGCACCTCGCATGAGCTAGGCAAGCGCTCTACCTGAGCTACAGCCTCAGCCCCTAATAAAAAGTATTTAAGTAAACCATTTGTCCTATGGGTCCTCTATATTCTGGACTTTGCTATTTTGCATTGTGTCCTTTAATGTATTTCTTGCTTCTTACAGTTCCTGAAAACTGGGAATTTTAGATCAGTGGTTCTCTACTGAGGGGCAATTTTACTACCCAGAGTAAATCTGGCAATGTCTTGAGACATTTTTGATTATCACTACTAATGTGTGTATTACTATTATCACCTAGTTGGCAGAAGCCAGAGTGCTGCTAAACATTCTATAATGCATAAGAAAGCCTCTCACAAAAAGAATTATTCAGTTCAAAATGCCAATAGTGCTAAGGCTGAGAAACCCTGCTATCAGGGATTATGAAGACTGGAATTTGATTATTTCACAAGATTACTCTATAGGAGATAGCATACCCTTTTATCAGAATATATATAAAATATGTGGCTTTTTGAGTATTAGCTAATGTGACATACTGATTCATTAGCAGCTGCAAAGTGGTGATATACTAATCCTGTAATTCCTTTTTCATTCATCAGTTAGAATATTTTTGTAAAGCAAAATTCCTCTCATTTATTTATCAAAAACAATAGTTTACATAAGAAATGTAGGATAAATGCTTAAATTCTCTTTATCATTTTTAAAAATAATAAGTTGGTTGCCTAAATATCACACAAAGTGACAAATACTATTTTTTCAGTATCATGAATTTGTGGATTTAGACATTTGTGTTTTCACGTAGGATCCCTTCATTAGGAATCAATAGGAGAGTCTTCATGTAGGTTACTGAGATCTGTTAACAATCAAGTTGTCTTTGATTACTTTCTTACTTTCCCATACGACAAGATGATCTAGGGTTACTTATATATATTTTTCCTGGGCCTGGAAATCAGAATCAGTCACTTCTCCAATGAGTCATTTTAGTAGAAAATAATATTTAGAGGTCATAATCTAAGTCATTTCAGTAAACAGAGTGAAGAAATTATTTTTCCTTTTTTTCAGAAAAAATACATTATAGCCTTTTTTAATACTTCCAATTCAAATAAACACCTTTCAAGTTTTTATTACTTCATCTTCTTTATTTTACATCTAATATAAAATTCTATGCTGAAAATTCTAATGACATTAACATAATACTTATTTGCTTTACCCTATAACATTTTCAAGATAACATTCCAAATACTGTTATTAACTATATATATATAAACCCTGAAAACATTTTTTTTAAAATAATTTTTTTCTTTTTCTTTAGGTCTTTAGACTCAAACTGCTATGCTCAAAGTGATTTGGAATAATTTTTCTGTGATGCTATACTGCTAACTCAAAGTTAGATACAACTGTTTCATTTTGCTTCTGCTAAATTTGCCTCTCAAATTTTGTTTATTTTACTGGAAGATAGTCCAAAGGAGAAAAAAAATAAAATCTGTTTACAATGAATGTAGCTTTTAAAATTTTTTAAAAAATAAATGACAGTGGAATGCATTACAATTCTTATTACACGTATACAGCACAAATTTTCATATCTCTGATTGTATATAAAGTATGTTGACACCAATTCATGTCTTCATACATGTACTCTGGATAATGATATCTATCACACTCCACCATCCTTGCTAATCCCTTGCCCACTCCCTTTTCCTCTCATCCCTCTGCCCTAAATAGAATTCATCTGTAGCTTTTAACCTCACTTTTTCCTACTCCTGAACAATTACAAAGAAAATGTTCTAGTTTATTATTATAATTTCTAAATAAGTTAAATATGATCTTCTGACCCCTTCTTGAAAAGTGAGGTCAGAAGATCATATTTTACTTATTTAAAAATTATAATAATAAACTAGAACTTCCATCTTGTTGCCAGATCTTCTTTGGGTTGAAGTTAATATACTGTATCACATTTTCTTCCCTATGCACACTATTTCAGTATTTATCATTTCACAGCCAGATATTAACAGAAGATTAAATTGATGAGGTTATACAGCCTTTAAGTCTTTAAAGTATTACTTTCTCAATTGGCAGGATGTATTAAATTTATAAATTAAATAGCATAAATATCATCATACTGCAAGTAATAACATATGATACACGTTTTTAAACTAGTCAGAGACCGGAATCTCAAAATATAAAATAAAGGTAAAAACATACCTCTGTGATGCGTAGTTGTGATGACGCAGCCATATAATCTGATTCTAATTTGTTCTTTTCTGAAATTACGGTAGTATTCTGAAGAATTAAGTCTACTTTTTCTATGTGCAAAGTAGTACAAATCTAGGGACAAAAATCCTTGAGTTTAGTTCTTTTCCTAAGGGTATTGTTTTTATGTTATCTATGTTTTAGAAGTATGAAAATGCCAAACTTTATTTTTTAAAATGAAAACATAAATCATAAGAACAAACAAAAAACAACATTTTTTAGCCATGTGTGGTAGCCCACACCTGTAATCCCACTGGCTCTGGAGGCTGAGGCAGAAGGATCTCAAGTTCAAAGTTAGTCTCAGCAACTTAGCAAGGCCTTAAGAAACTTAGTGGGACCCTGTCTCAAAAAATAAGAAAAAGGGCTGATGAAACTCTAATTTAAATTAAGCTAATTTAGTTAAATCACTAATACTTAAGTTTTTGCTTAAGACCTTACCTCCAATAAAGCACTCTGAAGTTTTACTATCCTTTTTTTTTTTTAAAAACCAGTTATTATCATTATTATTTTGCACCCAGGATTGAACCAGGGGTGTTTAACCACTGAGACACAACCCTAGTCCCTTTTTATATTTTGTTTAAAGACAGGCTCTCATTAAGTTGCTTAGGGCCTCACTAAAGCTGCTGAGGCTGGTTTTGAACTCACAATCCTTCTACCTCAACCTCCCAAATGACTGGGATTACAGGCATGTGCCACCACACCCAACTCTATCATTTATTTTAAAAATTATTCAAAATTAAGAAAATGACTTACCTTTACTAGGTTTGTTAATTCAGTAACAAGTTTTGCTTTCTGAATGTTTATTTCTCTGATTTTGGTAGTTGCTTTTCGCTCTTCCTCTTCAAGGTTACAAGTATCCTGTTCCATCAGTTTTAAACTGTATGACACATATGATGATGTAGAAATCAAAAGTTAAACAAAAGGAATGAACCAAAGGCTTAAGTCTCCTGCAGTTTTCTGTGCTATATTTAGCAATCCAATTCAAAAGTATAAACTGCTAGCTCCTAGATTAAATAGTTTTATGCAATCAAATAAAAAATCAAAAAGTATTTGTTGAGATTATTCTTTACCAGGACAGTCTGATAATACTAATGGTATGGTAAAGGATCTGGAGCCAGACAGGTGGCTACAAATGTCCTTTGTGCCACTCATCCATGCAGAGTGGAAACCTGGACAAGTTACTCTTATGAGTTTCAGTTTTGTCATCTGTAAATTGCAGATAATACTAGTATTTCCCTTACAGGAATATGAAGATTAAAAAAGGTCAACACTCGACATATTTAATATAGTGTCTGGCCCATAACTGACTAAAGAGTAGAAGCTGTTACTGCTGTTATTAATACTATTTATGAAACACTGTCCTTTCCCTTAAGGAGCTTACATCGAGAGAACTGATCAGTAGGTAAAAAACAGAATTAAAAGACAATAACAATCTGAAAAGTTAAAACCATACTTTTTTAAAGATGAAGAAACTAAGGCTCAGAAAATTTAAATAAATTACCTAAAATCACAGATATTGAGTTGTAAGATGTATTTAACATCAAAATTCATGCTCTTTGCATTATACCATGCTACCCACAAAGAAAAAGAAGAAAGGATAGAAGCAGTAATAAATAAGAATGAACAAGTTCAGTGGGTGTTGCAGAGTGGCTTAAATGGTACAAGTTAAGAGTATGTTGGGATGGACATTCTGGTTGTTTTATTTATTTCTTTTTTCAATAGTATTCTGAACTAAATGGAGAGGGGACTAGTCAGGGAGAGACTACTAACCAGGTCATCCCTGTATATCCCAAAATAAATAAAGGTAGGAACCCAAAAAGTCATTTCATTGCCTCCTACCCCCCAAATCCAACATTATCTTATAAGGAGAAAGTTTAGTTTCAGACAATGAATCTACTACAGTAGTCACACAGTAAAGATTAAGTATATTGCAAATGACCAAACAAAGAAGTGAAGAGCTAAAAGTTAAAAAACAAAAAGAGGTTTAAAGTTGAAAAAATGTTCTAAGAAGCTAGACTACATAGATGTATCTTACTTCAAACAACCACGGCATATTACCTTTTTGTGTGTGCCAGGGAATGATGAATCCAGGGGCACTTAAACACTGAGCCCCCATCCCCAGCCCTTTTTTCTATTTTATTTAGAGACAGGGTCTCACCGAGTTGCTTAGGGCTTCACTAAGTTGTTGAGGCTGGCTTTGAACTTACAATCATCCTGCCTGAGCCTCCCAGGCTACTGGTATTATAGGTGTGTGTCACCATGCCCAGCAACATTCTGGGTTTTTAATTCCTAATACAGTAAAGATCAATAATGTAATCCATATAAATAAAATTTATTCAGGGGACTCATTAATTTTAACCATGTAAATGGGTTTAGGGACTGGAATAGAAAAATTCACAGCATTTAAGATTCACCTCCCTTTCCCCTATGGACAAAAATTGTGGTTGAGCAATAAGAAAAAATTTCAAAGAGAAATTACTATAAAATGTGCTTGTGGCAATGTGGTGTTGTTGCAGGGGTTTTGTTTGTTTGTGGTACTGGGGATTGAATCCAAGTATAGTCTACCACTGAGCTACATTCTCAACCCCACTTTTTTTATATTGAGATACGGTTTTTCCTAAGTTGCCCAGAACACACTGAAGTTGTGATCCTCTTGTCTCAGCCTCTTGAGAAGCTGGGATCACAGGTGTGCGTTACCATGCCTGGACACAGGGTTTAATTAGTAGTTTCCCATGCAGTGCTTGGGACTCCCATCATTCCCTGGAAAAGGCCAAAAGATACCTTCCTAGTTTGGAACTAATTTTTTGTTCCAGTTGTCTCTTTTTTGTTTTTCTTTCAAGAAGCTCCTTCTTCTTTTGTCTCAGTTCATTGTCTTTGTGTTCTAGATGCCTGTTTGTCTCACGTAAGGCATTTAATCCTAAATCCACAGCTTGTAATTTCCTTTTAATTTCCTAGGGAATATTGAAAATTGTCAACATATTTTTAAAAGTTCTAGTTAAAGCATTAGAAAACCAGTTAATATTCTTTTCTAACCATTAAATCCAATTAACCAACCTTTAGCTGTTCTTCCAAGTGTCTTCTTTGTTCTAGATCCACTGTGACTGTGAGAAACTGGGCTACTTTCAGGGATGTGTTACTAGAAATAACTTTGTTTGAATAAAAAGAAGTTTTCACCACATACTTTTCTTCTGCTGTATAAATTTGTTTTAATCGAGTTTCTTGTATTACCTATAATGTTAAACAAGAATTCATGAGCATCTAATAGAAAGACATGTTTTAAAGGACTAAAGAATTAAAACCATATATTAAGTAAATTCTGGAAGATCAAAACACACTAGGTATACTTTCTTCTTCTTTTTTTCCCCCTTATCCTATCCAATAACATCTCTAAAAGGGTGAATAATACAACTTAGGTTATTATTTTGAAAAACCAAATGAGGGAAGAGTGAGGAAAAAACTGAACTAGCAAAGTCAGCTATACTTCCACTCTCTCCCAATTATACATTTGGAGCTTTATTACACTAAAGAATAGACCAGAGGAATTAGGTGCCCAGTATATTATACTGTTATTTTGATTAAGTAATTTACTATGTCCTCCCTTGGCTGTATTGTTCAAAGACATATAATCTTTTATTTTCACCTTTTTTGAGGTCTTTTCTCTCAAGAACTTACACAAGGAGGTTCATAAGCATAACCATTCTGCTCATAAAAACATTATTAGATCTTTGTTTCTACATATTTATCAAGAGTAGGCTGCTATGATGGATTTTCACCCAAATCTTTAAAGGTTAATAACAATGCTATCATGGCTTATTTCCTTCTAAAAATTTATAATTTAAGTGAACAGATAAGACACATTTAAGTACACTTAGTCAACAGGGTTATAAACTGTCATCCTAAATTCTAAATTTGTAATAAGGTACAGACCAGGTGAGGTTAGCCTTTGCAAGTTTCATGGAAATGAGTTTTAACTGACCGAGATAACGAGAGGAGGGGCATTCCTAGAAAAAGGATATTCAAGCTAAAAAAGTGAGTAGACTTCTAAGATTAACCAAAGAGGTGAATCTTAGAAATTAGTGGGAGAACAATCCCATAAATAGTGTATAATCACTGTTAGAGAACTTAATATATTTAAGACTTGACAATAAAACATACACTAAAGAATATATTTTTATTCTAAGGAAGAAATATAGCTATTATTGCCATTACCTAAAAATGAAACAAAAAGAAAATTTATTCAAGGAAGAAATACAGCCATTATAACCATTTCTAGACATGAAACAAACAGAAGAACTGAGGTAGAAAATTTCTCAATAAAAGTTTGTATATTGTGAAAGATAGCCAAGATAATACCATAGCTTTACCAGGTGCTTGAAGCACTTCCTAACATGTATTAATTATACATATACAAGTCTAAAAATTATCTCATCATAATTTAAATTATTTTTACACAACACAGCACAAGGCTGGGCATTGAGACAATCAAGTATAAGAAACATTCAATATAATCAAGAATTTAAAAAATATTATTACTTATATAAATACCAAACAGATTAAGGTGAATGAAAAATATCTGAAAAGAAAGGGTAAGAGAAGAAATAATTTTATTTTAATGTGAGTTACAGGAATTGAATACTGTGACTTAAACAAAAGGTGGGGCTGGGAAGGACGGTAGAATAAGACAGACATTATTACCCTATATGCATGTATGTATGATTATACTATTGGAGTGACTCAGGATCATGTATAGCCAAAGGACTAAGAACTTATGCTCCATTTGTATACAATATGTCAAAATGCATTCTAATGTCATGTATAACTAATTAGAACAACAACAAAAAGAATAAACCAGGAACTATGTTAAAAAAAAAAAAAAAAGGTGACTCTTTTGAAGCATCATTCAAAAGATTTTCCAAATGCAATCATTGCTCCTTTCTGCCGCAAAGTAAAGCTATGAAAGTCTATTGTCTTTCCCCATCAATAAAGAATTACTACTTCTACCCTTACTTCCAGAGATAGCTCTACCTATTCTTGGAGTTATGACATAAATTGGTTTCATCTACATAGATGGTATTGTTCTCTTTTCTAAATCTCACTGACTTAAGACACATGAGAGGTACCCCCATATAGAGATTTCTAAATTTTTATATCCCAAGTGATCCTACATATATGTCATTTTAACCAAAGATATAGGCAATTTGGTACAAGCACTCTTTTTTTTTGCAAAATGAGTAAGGGCCCTTTTCTTTTTTCCTTCTTTTTGTTTTTGTGGTCCTGAGGACTGAATTCAGAGCTTTATGCATCCTAGGTAATAACTCTACCACTGAGCTACATCCCAGCCCTGTTCTTTATTTTATTTTTAGACAATGTTTCACTAAATTGCCCAGGCTGGCCTTGAATTTGTAATCTGCCTGCCTCCCCCCCCCCCCCCCCCCCAAGCAATCCTGGTATTACAGGAATGCATCACTGCACCCATCTAAGGATTCTCATTTCTTTCTTTTTAACTTTTTTCCAGGGCCCTCACTTCTTTTTTAATATATATTTTATTTATTTGTTCTTTTTAGTTACACATGACAGTAAAATGTATTTTGACATGTCATACATAAAAGGAGTATAATATCCCATTCTTGTGGGTTGTACATGATATGAAGTTACACTAGTTATGTATTCATATATGACAAAGGTAAGTTATGTACAAATTCATTCTACTGTTTTTCCCTTTCCCACTCCCCTTCTTTCCCCCCATTTCCCCCACCCAATTTGGTGAACCTCCACTCCTCCCTCCCCACCACCTATTTTGGGTCAGCATCCACATAACAGAGAGAAATTTGGCCTTTGGTTTTTAGGGACTGTCTTATTTCATTTAGCATGATAAGTCTCCAGTTTCATTTATATACTGGCAAATGCCATAATTCCATTCTTCTTTATGGTCAAGTAGTATTCCATTGTGTATATGTACCACATTTTCTTTATCCATTCATCTACTGAAAGGCACCTAGGTTCGTTCCATAGTTTAGATATTGTGAACTGAGCTGCTATAACACTGATGTGACCATTTCACCATACTATACTGATTTTAAGTCCTTTGGGCATATGCCAAGGAGTGAGATAACTGGGCCAAATGGTGATTCCATTCCATGTTTTCTGAGGAATCTCCAACAGTGCCTTCCATAGTGATAGTGGTTGCACTGATTTGCAGTCCCCCTAGCAATGTATGAGTATACCTTTTCCCAAAATCCTCACCAACATTTACTGTTACTTATATTCTTGATAATTGCCATTCTGACTGGAGTGAGATGAAATCTCAGTGTAGTGTTAATTTGCATTTCTCTAATTGCTAGTGATGTTGAACATTTTTTTCATATATTTGTTGAGTATCATATTTCTTCTTCTGTGAAGTGTCTGTTCAATCCCTCACTTCTATCTTCTATTAGTGAAGTATACAGAGCCCCAAATGAATGATTACCCATCATGAATGATCTGAAGAATACTTCTATACTGACTGTTATAAAATGAACTCAGTATTATAAATAGCAATTAGGTTCCCAGAAGTTTATATACAGTATTAATATGGCAACATTAATATGGTGGTACAAAAAAACCTGTTCCCCAAGCCTCTTTTCTTTTGAGACAGGGTCTTACTAATTAAATTACTTAGGACCTTGCTAAATTGTTAAGGCTAGTCTTGAGTTTGTGATCCTCCTGTCTCAGCCTCCCAAGTCACTGGAATTAGAGGTATGTGCCACTGTGCTTGGTCTTGCTTTATTTTAAACTAAGAAGTTTCAATGAAACTTTGTTTCGGTAACGATTCAATACTTTTCTTACCCGTTCAATTCTTTCCCTGGTTCTTTCAGTTCCCACAGGAACTTCATGAATATGATACTGGCAACAAAGGTAACTCATTACAGGATCAGGTGCATCAAATAACTCTCGCAAATAGGAGAAAAATCCATATTGTCTGAAAGGAAAAGTACTGATTTTTCAAAAGAACATTTAAAAATTTTGATTGTTAAAACTACAAATTATTTCAACAATGGAAGAGGAATTCCTTTTTTTTCAAACATTTTAAAACCACTTAGTATTATTTACTTCCTTGTCAGAGAAGTTTAAGTTTATTAGAAACAATCAAAGTATTCTTTTGTTGTTTCTTCTATTGTTCTTACCTTTAGAATGTCAACTTATATCCAGAGTTAAAATATTCACTTATAATTGTTCATTACTGCAATATTTACATTTAGTCATTCTGGAAATTATTTCTGTATTATAAAATGATTTACCATTTAATTTTCCCAATACCTAACCAACTCTTATCTTGCATCTTTAATAAAAGATATTTAGAATTTTCCATTAAACAGTCCAGTATTATCCCACTGATTTAAATTATCACTTTCATCACACACTATGCCACATGATATATTCCTGGGCCTAACTTCTTCCATATTTTAGACTTCAGTAGATATTCTACAAGAGAATAGTACAGCTTACATCAAACATATTATGTGACAAGGAGATAATCAAAATATATTTAAGATTATTCAATATTCAAATTAGTTGTAACAATATTTTCACAACTTACTTTAGTTCATTCAGAGACCTTGAAGGTGCTTTGTCTGCATATGAACTCTTGGGAGCAATAACAGCATTTACTCTTAACTTTTTATTGTCACGAACCTGGATATAGGGAAAAGAAAGTATTATCTTAATTATCATGTATTCTCAATTGAAATGATTTTTCAAGTTGCTATATTGCTACTGTCATTCATGGGATAATCAGGAAAAAAGCAGAACACTGGATGTTTGATGATACTTAATAGTATTGCTTCTGTTAATGGCAGGTTACAAAGTATTGGGCTAACCTTTCTACAAATAATTATTACAAATTCTGGACTAGATTTTAAAAACAATCATACGGCCAGCTCAGTGGCACCTGTAATCCCAGCAGCTCAGGAGGCTGAGACAGGAGTATCGTGAGTTCAAAGCCAGCTTCAGCAAAAGTGAGGCACTAAGCAAAGCAGTGAGAGCTTGTCTCTAAATAAAATACAAAATAGGGCTGGGGGTGTGGCTCAGAAGTCAAGTGCCCTGAGTTCAATCCCCAGTTCCCCCTCAAAAACCAATCATATGAAGACATTGGAAAAACAGAGGCTGGAGGAAAGTTGATACTCAGAAGAGAAGAAAAGTACTGAAATTTGTGCTTATGTGGTTTCAGGGTAATCCCCAATCTGGAGCACAGGAATGGGAATAAAATTCAGGTAGAAAGCTGTAGTTTTGTTGCTGTAGGAATCATAGGATGGAGTTTTGGGGTAACTAGAATGGCTACAAATTCTTAGAAGGAGAGTGTTGCAAAGAAAGAAGGTTCAAAATTTGCATATAAACTCCTGTTTAAATCCTTGATTGACCCTTAAACTATAAAGGGATGAAAATTCCAGGGGGCTGGAATAAAGCAACAAGTGGAAGGCTGAAAAAACTGCATGTAGATTTCAATTGCTGCCCATTGCATGGGATAGAGTTTAGAGTTCAACTACGTTAATTGTCTGTTAATCTCTTTAGAATAAGACAGATGAATCCAGTCTTCACATTATCTACAATTTTAGTATACAATAAAATGCTACCATAGTCAAGAAAACAAATAGTGAAGAGATTACGTGTGTATATAAATTCAAATAACTATTTCTCCTCCCATAATCTTAAGATTTCATTTCATATATACATAGATACATATATATACATATATGACTATTTTAGTATTTAATTTTTCAAAATAAAACACACAAACATATAATTCTGTACTTATTACTCTTTGACAATATGTTCACTTGATTATTTAACTTTCTGGAAATAAATTCAAATAACTATTTCTTCTCCCATAATCTTTTTTTAAAAAAATATTTATTTTTTAGCTTTAGGTAGACAAAATATCTTTATTTTATTTTTATGTGGTGCTGAAGATCGAACCCAGTGCCTCACGCATGCCAGGCAAGTGCGCTACTACTTGAGCCATATCCCCAGCCTCCTCCCATAATCTTAAGATTTCATTTTTCTGATACTAGCAATGCTCTTGTTCTAATTCTACATTACTGGGAAATTTCTTCCTACTGACTACAGAGTTGAACACTCAATTCTCAATTCATGCTTGTTTCAATCTGATTTCAAAATCCTAACAGTTGATGAGAGAAACTTGGAAATAAAGAAAATAACATTGTCTCCCCCCCCCCCTTTTTTTTTGAGAGAGAGAGAGAGAATTTTTAATATTTATTTTTTAGTTTTTCGGTGGACAGAACATCTTTATTTTATTTTTATGTGGTGCTGAGGATCGAACCCAGTGCCCCGTGCATGTCAGGCGAGCGTGCTACCGCTTGAGCCACATCCCCAGCCCTAACATTGTCTTATAAGTTCAACTAGTAAAATTCACTCAGAATGAATATAATAACATTTCAGTGAGGGTTTTCTAGGAAGCTTCCTGATATGTTTACTGGACTATTTTACTGGACTATTTTTGAATTCCTGAAAACCAATAAAGAAAGGTAAGCTTAACATAATGTTCAAGAGACAAAATTGGACAATTATTTTTATTTAGTAAATTATAAAAAAATCAAATTCTATTTTGATTCAGTATACACAGAAAAGGAGAAAGATAAAAAATTACAATTGGTAATGTAGGCTATGATAGATGGTAAAGAGAAGAACAGACAAAATTATATCATATAAATGCTAAAAAATGGAAGCGAATATAGTTTTACAAATACCAGACAAAGGAGACTTAAATGAAGAAATGTTATGAGAGGGAAATGTTATAGTTTTCTCACTAAATGTGCATGTACCTAATAACATAGCTTCAAAATGCATCCAAAGAGTGACTGAACTAAAAGCGACACAGATAAAGTTCAAATCATAAGAGGAGATTTTCACATACTTCTCTCAGTAGTTGATTAAGCAAACGGAAAACTATCAGTAAGTTTATGGAAGATTTTAGTTACTAACATTTGAATATGTGCTTATGGTTATATATCTGTATAGGAATGTGTGTGTGTGTGTGTGTGTAATTCTAAAAATATCAAAATGCATATATGAAGTACACAGGCTTACCAAAATTATTCATATTCTGGGCCATAATATAAATTTAAACAATTTTCAAAATTATTCATATTATGTTTTTTCTTTTTTTATTTGTTCTTATTGATGCTTTACAATTGTACATTAATAATGGGGTTTTCACTGTTTTATACTCACACTTGCACACAACATAACTTGGCCAATTTCATTCCCCACTACACAACCCCTGGTCTTCTAATCTACATGAGAGAAAACATATGGCCCTTGACTTTCTGAGTCTGGCTTATTTTGCTTAACATAATGATCTCAAGTTCTGCCCATTTTCCTACAAATGACATAATTTCATTCTTGATAGCAAAGTCCACTATGAGTATTTTCTTTATCTGTTCATTGATGGACGCTTAGGTTGATTTCATGTTGTGGCCATCATGAACTGTGCCGTTATAAACACGGGTATGCATTTATTGCTGTATCACGCTGACTTTAATCCATTTGAATACCAAGAAGGTGGTAGAGCTGGGTAATATGGTGGTACCATTCCTAGACTTTTAAGGAACCTCCATACTAATTTCCATAGCAGTTATACTTATTTACAATGCTATCAACAGTGTATAAATGTTCTCCCCATGCCCACATCCTCACCAGCATTACTATTATCTGTATTCTTGATGCAGGTAAAAACTTTAAAGCAGGTATGATGTAAGAAAACTATCATCATAATGAATGAACAGAGACCTTTAGCAGACAAAGAAATAAAAAAAAAATTAAATAGAAATTCTAGAACTAAAATATGAAGTATCTAAAATGAAAAATTCACTGACAGGTTTATTGGTAAAAGATCCTGGCAATATTAAAAAGATAACGTTATATAACAGTTTATGCCAGAAACATGAACATCTTAATTAAAATAGAAAAAATTCCTTTGAAATGAGAATAAAAAATATAGAATAATATTTACACTTATTAGTGAAATTGAGTTTTCTATAAAAATTTCAAAGATAGCTCCAGATTCTGATATCTTCACTGATAAATGCCATAAAACAGTCAACACCAAAACTTGGCAGAAAAAAGAGGAAACACGCTTGCAAAATCATTTTTATGCCATACTCTCACTGCAAAACCTGACAAAAAGACTATAAATTATTATCACTCATAAATACAAATGCAAAAATATTTTTCATAGACAGAATTCAGCAATATATGGTTACATGACCATGCAGAGTTAATTCCAGGAATGTCAGAATAACACAACACTCTAAAATCTACCAATCCAATCTATCATATTATTAGAATAAGTACAAAAGCCATATGATCATCTCAGTAGATACAATTTATAAAGCAACTATTAGAATTCAGTAAGTGAATGTAACAGTGTCACAGGATACAAGGTTAATATAAAAAACCAATTTTATGTCTGTGTACTAGCAATAAACAATTATAAAATGAATTTTAGAAATCCATTTTCAATAATCAAAAACAATGTTTACTTTTATACATTAAAAAATATATTTAACAAAAGATGCTGAAAGATGTGTGAGAGGCATGGTGGGACAGTAGAACAGAGAATATTTCATAATAGCCCAGATTAGCAATTCTGAAACTACTTTCAGAGCATTCTAAGTTTGAAAAATGAGTAAATACATATGGGGTGCTATGCTTTTCATTAATACAGAAAGAAATAATAAATATTAAAAAAAAAATTAGAGAGTACCCACTAATGCAACATTGCCAAATGAAAACAGCAGTGTGAACTCAAGGTACATTTAGCTCTCTAGACAAATAAAGAAATAAGTAGATATGCAGGTTTGCATGCAAGGACTTAGAAGCAATGAGACACCAGCAACAATGAAAATAACTAGTTCCTAGGTCTTGGTTTCTAAAAGCAACTAGGGTCTTTGGGAAAAGGAATAGTTATGCAGGATATGTTCAAGATGAGCCATTCAATAAGGCAATAAAATAAGAAATGCTGAAAATATGATGACAACATATCCATAGGACACAGGAGTCAATCTAAGTTTTCACTGGCCAAATCTGGGACAATTTGAGCATTAAAATGATATAGTAATGGCCATGCACAGTGGAGCATGCCTGTAATCCCAGTGGCTCAGGAGGCTGAGAGAGGTGAATTTCGAGTTCAAAAGCCAGCTTCAGCAAAAGCAAGGTGCTAAATAAGCAACTCAGTGAGACCCTGTCTCTAAATAAAATGCAAAATAGGGCTGGGGATGTGGCTCAGTGGTTGAGAGCCCCTGAGTTCAATCCCTGGTACCCTCACCCCCACAAAAAGACAGTAATTGATAATTCATAAAATTCTCTGGGTCTATACCAATATAGTAAATAAATAAATATAAATAAATGGAGAAAAAGCTCTTTTAGTAGAATGCCAGCTAGTAAACTTTGAAGGAAAGATTGAGTTAGACTCATAAATAGTTCTTTTAAAAACAAATTACTGCTATTATTATCATTTTTGTGGTTTGGGGGAAATCTTACATGGGGCCTTGTGCATGCTAAACAATCTCCAGTCCCTTATTAATGGAACTTAAACCTACTAGGCAGTTTCATGAGAGACAAGATATTTATTGTCTCAAAAAGAAATTATAAGGAAAAATAATTAAAAGGAAAAATAATCAGTTTTGCTATACTTATTGTATAAAATATACAATTTATTTTGTATATTAATAATTTAATGTGTAACAAATTTGTTCTAAGCAACTGATATATTAGGAGACAATTTGAGTACTATATGAAATTCACATTTACTAACATGCAATTTCATACAGAAAGAAACAAAAGGTTATCTGCAAGTGAATGCAGAAAACTGCATCCCACTGAACCAAGTGTCGTATATCTTGTATTGCATAACTGAACACACACATTCACACCCCTTTAAACATCAACAAGCCCCCTCAGTTCAACATGTGTTTTAAGCCACACCCACCTATATTTGCAGTTACAACTTTTCATCCAATTTCAGATAACCAATTTAAAATTGTTTTAGTCAATATTAACTCACAAGTTGCACAGTTCTAAGGCTCAGGTCTTTTTCAAAACGAAGCATCCTACTTCTGTTATTTGTATATTAATAATTTAACATGTAAAACTGTGCTACCATTTTTACTAGGTTCATTTTTTTAAATCCATCATAAAAAAATTTGAAAACTATATCCTAACCCTTTCCCTTCCATAAGCCCTGTGGGATTTTACTGCACATTCTGCACAGCAAAGTGACTTTTTAGACAGGTTTCACTAGGTGGCTTAGAGCCTTACTAAACTGTTGAGGCTGGTTTCAAACCTGCAATCCTCCTGCCTCAGGCACCCAAGCCATTGGGATTACAGGTATATGCCACTGAACCCAGCTAACACCGTGATTTTAAAAAATGTATATCTTGTATTGTAACACAACTGACTGTACTTTGCAATGGAGAAACAATAAAACAAACAGGGCAAAATATAAATAGTCAATCTGGAAAACGGGAATACAAAAATTCCATCTACTACTCTTATAGCTTTTCTGTAAGTCTAAAATCATCAAAATAAAAATTATTTTAAAAATCAATAAAGGAGTGGAAGTAAAATGAAAGAATACTGGCTGTGAGTTAATCTATCATTAATGCTAGTATATAAAGTTCATAAAGTTTTGAAAAATCTATTCTTTTAATGGTTATTTTAAATAAAACTGAATAACACAGTGAGAAAGTAATTTTATTTTCAATTCTATTTCAATATTTCTAATTATATCAACGAGAAAGCTGTAGTTGTCAACATGTCCTTAATTCCCTGTTACCTCTTTTTAAACATAGTACATGCTTTCAGCAAGCACCAGTACAGGTCTAGAATTTACTAACATTGTTTTTATTTTCTTACTGTTGTACAAAATATTTGGTTTCTAATTTCATAGTGATATACTTTCTTTTAGAATACTTTGTTTGGATAACAAATATTCAGGTGACTTAAAGAAAAACAGTAACTGATATTATAGGCAGGACCCAGACTTTGTAGAACTTGTGAAGGTAGCACATGATAGTACGGAGAAATGGAAAAAATTGTGACTACTGTTTGTAAATTACAGAGGGATGAGAAATGGTACTCTAGTAGATATAATTACAGGATAAAGTTATACAGAATAAACTTCACAATTTAACATACTCACAAAAAATTATATGTATGAGAAAGTTCTGGTCCTACCTGATAAGTAGCTATGGAAAGATAATTGTTATAAGCACAACAGAAAAAAAAAAGTTCTGGCTGGGGATATAGAGGGTGCCTAGTATTCTCACAGTATTAGAACATAGTTCAAATCCTCAGTGTACAGGCAACATAAACTTTTGACACAAGACACTCAGTGCAAGCTAAGTTGGTCATCTAATTAAACCTTATTATATGACTTTACAGTATATCATGTCTTACAGATATATAACTCTAATAACTGGCTCTTTCAGTGCACTCTGATGTAAGATCAATAATTCTATAGTCAGGCTTGAAACAGTTTTAACATACATAGATGTTCAATAATTTGGAAGCCATTTTATAATTTTATATATGTATATAAAACATAAACAAACACACACACACACACACACACACATTTTTAAATCCACTTACCTTTATGATCATTCTCTGCCAACTACTGAACCAGAAGTAGGGCAATATGATAAAAGCCAAAGAAAGTTAAGGATTCTTTCCAAGCATTTGTATACCACAGATATAGGGGACTGCTTGGGCTGATCTAGGGTACTGTCCTCACTTAAATTAACAAAGGTTTAAACAAGACCAAAAAAGATAATCTAAACCAAGCTTTACGAGCATTTTACTTTATTTTATTTTTTGATGTAACAACATTTTAAAGTATCTTTTATTGATAAGAATTTGCTTAACAAGCATTTTTAAAAAAGATAAAGTACATAAAAAAGGGAAATTAAATCTTACTGATAATAACAATATATAGTTGATAATATATAAGCTGTAAAACAAAATCATATGTACCTAACTATATAATATATAATACAGCTTATAAAATATAAAAATATTGATTTCACCTTCAAAGAAAGACTGACTTTATCTAAATACATGCTCAAAAATGGATGACCAAAACCTAAGGTCATGTTTCTCTTTGAATCTGACAGAATTACTTTTCAAACTAATTTCAAAATATGTTACAGGTGAAATTATGTGCTGTTTGCCTTTTATAAAACAAATTTATTGGGATAGGGGTATAACTCAAGTGTGGTAGAGCATTTGCCTAGCATGTGTAAGATCCTGGGTTTGATCCTCAGTACCACAAAAAACAAATCAATAAAACAAAAAGTCAAACTTATCACTTATAATGACAAAAAAAGAAAGAAATTAGCAAAACTTAGTAATTTTACACAAAACTCCTAGCAAAAAAAAATAGCTACTACTTTTTGCTCTATAATTAAATATTGTAGCACTGAAAGACAAATGTTACATGTGCTACACTGGTTAGTACTTACCTCTCTGAGGAAAACCTCCATATCTTCTTGACTTTCAAACACAAAGGCTCTCAAGTCATTTGATGGAATATGATTTTCAATATATTTGGCATTTTTATTGTCTTTCATATTGATCTAAACAAAACAAAAAGAAAAAAGCTGATCTTCATGGAACCCCTTGATTATTAGAACATATTTATATTGAATATCTTTATTTCCTCAGATTCATACTTGAGAAAAGAAAGACAAGAAAAAATGACTGGGTACAGAACAGTCTTTTAAAAAATCTAGTCTGTTACCAAGAAACAATCAATACATACTTAAACAGAAGCCAAGATTTAAATAGTACCTAATGCATATTAATTTTGATGCTATAAAGAGATAACTTTAGTTTTTTTCTGGTCAACTCATTGAAAACATTTGAAACAGTCTTAGATTATGACTTAAGAGTTGAAATATTTCTCTTTTCCCAAGCTTTTAATATTTTTCTTCTTAATCTTCAAGAGAACTTCAAATTATATATGGCAATAGCTGATAGATAATAAAACACAAAGAACCAAAGAGTAAAACTTTATGAAACTATTGGAAACCTAGGTTTACACCACCATAGCATAAACTTACAAACATCTTTAAAAATTAATTAACTAGGCATTTCTGCCATGTGTATTTCAATTTTATGGAAAATATTAAGATATGTCAGAGAAAACAAACTATCACAAGAAGAGTCCAGCCCTAAAATTTTCTATACATTCTATTCTATATCTTGTTTTAAAATTATCATGCCATAAATTTCCTCTTATGTTATTAATTAGAAACCTACAGCAGTATTTTTAATGGCTCAATAGTATTCCACTATAAAAAAATAATTTACTTTCACCCATCAGTATCTTCATAAATTTTCATCTTTTGCCTCATCTGTAAATGAACCCTTCTACACTTCTGTAACTCTACATTGGAATTATTAGAAATAAATTATGTAAATAGATTGCTAATTGGTGAGGTACATGACGAAGTCTGTATATTGCTATCTTGCCTATCAAGGTAGAAGCATTTCAAGCAGGCCTTGAAGACTTAAATAAGTATGTATGGGGACATTCAATGGAGGGAGGTGTTATGTTATGAAAGAAGGGTTACTCTATAAAGGAAGAAAAATCAGAGTATCTCTTTTCACTTTAAATATTCAAATATAGTTTAAAATATAAGTATATGCCAACTAGTAATATGATGTGATTAGAAAATCAAATGACAAGAGAATGAGAAATCTAATTAAGTTCTGAAATATTTTTTTGAAGTCAACATTTTAATAAAAATCAGTTGACAATTATATTTGCATTATAAGATATCAAGGGTGACAATATTTTTCTCATATTTTCCTTCCAACCTAATCAGATAAATCAAAACAATGTCTACATTCAAAATAGAAATTCTCTTCTTGATCTGGAAAAACATTTTAATAATACGTACTTGAGCAAGAAGAGAATACATCATCTATATTAATTTTGTTACTATAAAAGATTGAAATATATATATGAAAAGATTTTTAATAAAGTATAATGCAAATATGTTATAGAAAAAAAAAAAAAAACAAACTTTTCATGAATCCTGAAAAGACCTACAGTGAATTCTTTTTAAAATAAATTATCTAGCAAAATAATCCTTAAATCATTGTGGGGTAAGTTTTGAGCTTATATGTCAACGACTAAAATGTCATTATCAAAGAATATAGTTTGTCACTTTCTCATTTTTTTTACATAAGACTGATCATTTTACAGTTCAGAAATTATTCTATTAAATTCATAGCCACAACTTATTACATATTTACTAAATATAGCTTTACCTGTTCTTAATGACCCACAATAATCAATAAAGGCTACAATATGTCAATAAACTACTTGCTTTATTCTCAAAATCCCCAGAATGTCCTTTTAAATAACAGCCAATTTCTTGTTCATCTTGTCACATGTTCCTCATTAATGTTTTTATTTACAGTAGTTTTCCAATTCTTCAGCAGGTTTAAATCTAAAACAAGCTATAATGTAATAACCAGCCTAACCAAACTAAGTTTATACAGGATTCTTGGCCTGTAAGCTTCTAGTTTACACCTCTTACTAGAAAAAAGTTTGCAGGTTTTGTAATACTTGTTACTATTATAGATCAAGGGGCCTTTTATAAAGTTCATTTATGGATTTAGCCCAATACCAAAGATGCCAGAAGCCTGATAACAGAAAAAACAGTATGTTAACAGGACTAAAAATTCTTTAAAAAATTAACAAAAAATGCACAATGATTACAATAATAAAACTACAAGATGTCACTGAGATGAATAATTTTCTTACCGTAAGCATTATAGGCTCACAAACTCTTTGCTTAAATTTGTCTCTGTTATTTCTTAGCCACAAAACAGCATCATAAGTGTCCCGGTACCTCTGTCTCAGCTTATCTTCCTTTTGATTCATAAGATTGTCAAAACGTTGAATATGGTCATCCACATCTAAAATTGAAAAACAAAGTAGATTCTCTGAAAATTTTAATTAATGAAACAATCTATTAATAATTTCTGAGAGAAAAATGATTTTTAACATAGAATAATCATACGTACAACAAAATGAAGAAAAAGAGATAAAAAGAATTAAAAGATATTCTTAGAAATACAAAGAGTCTGGAATTAATTTCCAAATCTCTTCTTAGGAGGTTATCTGCAAATGTACTCTAACAAAGTAAGGGCATAAAAGATACACACACACACTCATATACACACACATACACACACACACAAAATAGTGGAATAGGCTTAGTCAACATAGAAAAGGTATGAAAGAAATCCCATATGATAAAATACTGATGGAGGCTTTGAGAATTACCAGTTTAGGTGGAAGCAGGATGAAATGTTACAGAATTCAAGGAAAGAAAAGATAGCACTCTCCCCTTTACTTAAGGAAATGCTAAAGAAAATGTTTTCTGTTTAAAAAAATAAATAAAAAAAACCCCGTAAATTAGCTGGGCACAGTGGCACATGCCTGTTACCCAAGTGACTCAGGAGGCTGAGGCAGAAGAATTACAAATTTGAGGCCAGACCCAGCATTTTAGTGAAACCCTCAGCAGTTTATTAAGACATTATGTCAAAATAAAATAAAAAGTAAGGATAGGCTGGGCACAGTGGCACACACCTGTAATCCCAGCGTCTGGGAGGCTGAAGCAGGAGGAATGCGAGTTCAAAGACAGCCTCAGCAAAAAGTGAGGCTCTACAAATACAAGTCAGTGAGACCATGTCTCTAAATAAAATACAAAATAGGGCTGGGGATGTAGTTCAGTGGTAGAGTGTCCCTGAGTTCAATCCCTGGTACCCACCCACCCAACCCCAAAAGGAAGGGCTGGAGATCATAGCACTGTAATAAGTGTCCCTGTGTTTACTATCCAGTACCAAATAAAAAAAGAAAGAAAGAAAATTCATAAAGGTAAATTAAAAACTTATAAAAAGTTATGAATTAAAGGAAATTTAGCCATCATATACTACTTGGCATGGCTATGAACAAGTTTTACTATTGTACTAAACAATACTTGGTATTATAAACTTCCAGAATTAACCCATAGAACACATAAAACTTAATTATGGTTCTCAATAAAATAGATGTTTCAAACCTTGAAAATATAAAAATGGGAGTATAGATGAGAGAGTTTTGAATGTGAGAAGCAAGGACAGGAGCACAGTGCTAGTATTTTAGATCACAAAATGTGTATGTAAACAATATGGACAACTGTTCAATGCCACAGAAACAGGCATATTGCCAGGCGCAGTGCTATATGCCTATAATCCCAGCTGTTTGGCAGGCAGGAGAATCATAAGTTCAAAGTCAGCATCAGCAATGGCGAGGCGCCAAGCAACTCAGTGAGACCCTGTTTCTAAATAAAATACAAAATAAAGCTAGGGATGTGGCTCAGTGGTCGAGGGCCTCGGAGTCCAACCCGAGTATCCAACCCCCAAAAGAGATAATCTGAGAAATTACAATAATTAGGGATGTATTATGAGCTAAAATCTACAAAATAACTATCAAAAAATGATGTCTAAAATTGATTAATCAAGTGATAATGAGATAAGAATATGGTGAATATATGAAGATGTCTATTACAAAAAACTGCAAGAGTTAAAAGTGCTTACTCTTGAGAGTGGGTCTGGAGGTAGGAAAGGGGTTGCATCACCCTTTTCTTTTAGTTCTTTTTAACTATACACATCTAGAATTTTAAAAGCATAAAAGTGTTTTTTATTTCCCCCCACTGGTATTAGTCATATACAGTGAACAGAAAGAATATAAGATCTCCATCCAAATAATGCTACCAATTTATCCACATGGTCTACAGGAAAGAAAAGCAAACATGAAACTAGACAGGTTTGAACGACCAAAGCTAATGGTTACAAAGTGTAGGATAAAGAGCTTAAATTTGATCTGAGTAATATTAAGTTACTCAGTAAAGAAAATAAAGTTAAGCATTTTTAGAAAATTAATTCAATTGTTGTAATTAGACATAAAATAATGATCAACCAGAGGCAAATCACATATAAGACAAATATAGGTAATAGGGCACAAGTTGGAAGAACTGAACTAAGTTTGCCCAGCAAGGAAACTTGCACAGTTTAAAGAAATGAGTATCAGGGAAGAAGAAAGGCCATTGTCAGAGATGAATCCCCATTTTAAGAAACTTACTCTTTTTCTCTTTCTCTAGAGTTTCCCTCTCTCTCCGTTTATCAATTATCTCGCCTTCACATAATGCCTTTTCATCTTGAACTCGTCTCAGATCATTTGTAATGGCATCAATCTGAGGCTGAAGATTCTCACAGTTTTCTGTGGTCTTTAATTCATTTTGCAAATCCTCTATCATTTTGCGGGTATTACTTATTCTCCTCTGTCTGTCTTGTTCTTCATTTTGTTTTACTGTTAGAGCCTGCTGAAGTTCCTCAATCTAATAAAACAAAAGTAGGTCAGTACCTAAGATTGCTTTTTCTCCTGATTTATAAGGCTTTCTTAATACTGAAGTTTTACATGGGGTTGAGGATATGACTCAGTGATAGAGCACTTGCTCACCATGCTGAGGCCCCAGGTCCCACCACTAGCACCACAAGAAAAAACAAAAAACACCAAACTAAGAACATGGAGTTTTTTTTCTCTCTACAAGGAATCCTACTAGAATTAGACTAGCAGATTGCCAGTTCTACCAGACTACCTATCTTGATTTGTTCACTAACATATCCCAAATACCAAGAATTGTACTTAGTATGAAATTACACACATAATAATTTACACATAATGTAAATTATTTTTGCTGAATAAACAAAATAAAAAGCTAAATTTCTAAATAGTTAAAGTGAATATATACTATACATCATACAACCAAAATTGTTATGCTGTATAATATACAAGTTTCAATAAATAATACAAATGATTATAAGTCAATTATAATTTCAAACCACAATATTTTTTTTTGAACAAAATTATTTTCTACCTATACTTCAAGTTAATACTGTGAGATTTAAATTTTTTTTTCTTTGTAGTACTGAGGATTGAACTCAAGGCCTCGCACATGCTAGAAGTACTCTACCACTGAATTGTATACATAGTTCTTGATGTTTTTTATTTTGAGAAAGGGTCTCATCCTCCAAAATAATTGGGTCTACAGATGTGCACCATCATGCCTGGCTTTTAATCAGTCTTTACACTTGAAGTTTTGGTTCATAATGTAAATTATTTTTTAAAAGCCAGACGCACAGGTTGCCACCTGACATCAAAGGAATTTTTTTTTTTATCTAAACCAAAGAGTTACCATTTTCTGTAAGACACACAAACAAATGTACACTTACATATCTAATTGATTTTTTTATAAGGAGAATTCTCTATTAATAAATATTCAAGGTTCATATATTACACCATCTATTATTAGTTGACTTTATTTCTAAATCACTTATTTCCTCCTTTTCATTATAAAAGTTAACATATTCATTACAAAAATATGAAAAATAGAGACTTTACAAATAAAAATCACTCAAAATCTAATCAAACTTAAATTTTTACATTTTATTAACAACCTATAAATGTCATAAAACACATTTTTAAAATTAAAGGGCACCAATAAAAATTTACCAAGAGCAGTTTCTTAGTACCCATGTTCCTGCAAAATAAAATTTGAACACCTACATGATGTCCTGTTATATGGACATACTACACTTTATTATATTCCCTATTGTTGGAAATTTGGAATGATATAAATGTTTCCTTTCTAAAATTTATCTTGGTAGTATTATGACAATGAACAAAACACATGCTAAAATTCTTTCACCCTTACCAAACAGAGAATGAGAGAAAACATGAAAAAAATTAAGACACCTGTCATTGAAAATTAACAATGTTTAAAGAACCTGAAAGGAGGAAGCAGACAAGAAGCTCCAGTGTTCAGCCTGGAAACCCATGAAGTCCCAGGCCTTCAGAAGAATAAATGGGCATGTCACAGAAGACAAGTACAGAAATAAGAATTACTAGGCATGAAAAAGTTTAAGTTCATGAAAAAGGAGCAAGACACACACAATTTAAATATACATGCTTTCTACTTCCAGTACAACAGAAACCACTCAGCTCCTGAAAAAAAAAAAAAAAAAATCACTGGGTTGGTTTTTCACTTTGACCTTTCTTACCTTTGGGCTAAGTTTTGAACTCTTAACTCACTTGCCACCCTCATCCAAGAAACTACCATGACTAATCACATTAGTCCTACCATGACTACCCATGTTTAGTTTGAGCAAAGTCTAAACCTTTTAGGTCACCCATCTTCAATGGGACACTACTGCCATACTGATCAATATCTTCAATTTCTCCAAATGTATCTTATTCTAACTGAAAACTGTTATTTCCAAAATACTTCTCCCTAGAGTTCTATTAAGTGGTGACTTGCTATAACCCTACTACACTTCAGGACTCAGAAATGGAGGTGTCCTCATTGTCATGACACTCCTTCCTCCTTTAACTGAGCCCCACTTTAGTTCCTCTGAAGACCTGGAATCAGACTTTGCCACCCATTATCCTTGTTACTATGTTAACCATCTCCCCCTCATATTACTCCCTGATATTATTCATTTATCAGATGACTTTGATTTGCCATCTTCCTCTATTTAATTTATCATTATGCCTGTCATGTGATTTCAACCTAAACACAGAAAACCAATCTAACTTTTTGGTCTTTGTTCCCTTACTTCTGCAACTTCAGTCATTTTCTCCTTATATTGTAGATCATGTAAATCACACTACTTCTGAAGACCATATTTTCATAATCCTAGTGTTTGATAATCATTTCCTTTCCCTCCATCCAATTCATCTGACATTCTTATTCCAGCTATCCCTTGGCCCCCACAAGGTCCTACAATCTATTGATGTACTACCTTTTCACAATACAACTCTCCTTCATTTATTTCCTCAAAGAGCACTACAACCACTTCACTGCAAAGACCCCTGAATCCTCCATTCCTATGTCACACTGGCCAGGGAAAAAACCTAGTATTAATTAAACCTAATTATATTAGCTTTATCTTTCTATATCTAAGCAACTGAACTACTGGAAAAAATAAAAAACTGGTCTTTTAATTTATAATAATAAAATTTAAACAAGATGTCAAAACTATCAATAACAAAATTCTCTAATAAATTTGTGCCCTCATTCCAATATAAATTCATATCTCTTCCTCCTGTCAATCTATTACTGCTGCCTTCCTCTACTCAGCTCATGACCTCATCTCATATTCCATTAATAGAATAATTAAAATCAAGAATTCTTCCTTCTTTCAAACCTACACTTTAGCTACATTCGACTTTACTATGTTTTATCTTATAAAATGTAAGGACAGTCCCTGTAGCTACCTAAATCTAACCCCTCCAAGGCAACTCCAGACCAGTGTTTCTCAAATTATTTATGACAGACCATTTAGGAAAAAAAAAAAAAAAAGCCTGTCATTGCAAGTCAGCTTTTATCAATCATAATTAAAATTAATTATTAACAATCACTGGGAAAACAGTTTGGTAATTTTTTTTTTAATTAAAAGGAATTTATGATACTGTGCTCTCAGGAAATTACACAAGAAAAATAAAAGCACATGCATACAAAATGATATACAAGAATATACACAGCAACTTTATTGGTAATACCCCCAAAGCACTTAAATATATATAAAGGTTGAATGGTTAAACTGTAATCTAAGGAAAAATGAAAAAAAAAAAAACACACTACATTGAATAAAAATAAAAATATAGCATATCAAAAATTGCACCACAGCTAAAGCAGTAATGAGAGAAAAATTTATAGCTCTGAGAGCTATAAACAGTTTATAACTCAGCTGGGCATGGTGGTGTACATCAGTAATCTAAGCTACTTGGGAGGCTGAGGCAGAAGGATCTCAGTTTCAAGTCTAGCCTGGACAAGATAGTGAGACCGTCTACACAAACAAAAAGAAAAAGGAAAGAAAGACAAAAACAATGTACAGGGTAAAATTCTCAAATAAATAAACCAAGCTCTATCTTATAAACCTAGAATAGAACACCAAAATAAACCCATATCAAGCAGAAGAAAGAAAACAACAAAGGATAACAACAAAATTTGAAAATAATAAAACACAAAGTAATGTAAAAAGAACTGTTTTCTTAAAAAAAAAATCAATAAAGTTAACACACCTCTAGCAAGAATGACTAAAAAAGGAGAGAAGGGGGGGAAAATGTCAAAAGAAACAAACTTCCCATGGAATGAAATAGAAATATCACAATTATCTATACTTACCAAAAGCATAGGAGAATTTATACATACAAATGAGACAAAATAAACCAATTTCTTATAAAACACAAACTATCATAACTCAACTAATATGAAATAATTATCTGGATAACCCGAAAACTACTAAGGAAACTGAACTCAAAATCTTAAAACTTCCCCCAAAGAAATCTCTAGGCCCAGCTAGTGTCACTTGAGAATTATACAAAGTGTTCAAAAAAAAAAAAAAAATTAACAATTCTACACAATCTCATCCAGAAAACAGAAGAGGAGGGATTACTTCCCAATTCATTTTATGAAGCTAGCTATTACCTTAATATCAAAAGCAGATAAAGCACCATAAGAAAACTACAGAACAAAATCCCTCAGATACAGAAGCAAGAACTCTTTAACAAAATGTTTGCAATATATTTATATGTAAAAAGAACTTACATTTATATACCACAATCAAGTGGGGTATTTCAGGGATGTAAGGTTGATTTGATGTTCAAAATCAATGCTGATCTATCATATTAATAGGTTAAAGAAAAAATTATACAATCATATCAATATATGTAGCAAAGCATTTTTATCAAAAATGAAGATTAAAATTCTCAAACAGGGGCTGGGGATGTGGCTCAGCAGTAAAAGTGCTTGCCTGGTTTGCATGGGGCACTGGGTTCAAATTCCCACCATCAAAAATAAATAAATAAATAAAAATTCTCAAACAAAGGATCTTCTGAATCTGACCAAAAAAAGCATCTATAAAAAACTAAAAACTTAAAACTAACGTACTTAATGGTGAAAAACTGAATGCTTTCATTCAAAGATCAAGACTGAGGATGTGGGGGAAGAAAAAAAATAATGAGGTAAGGATGTCCCCATTCACCACTTTTATTCAATACAGTGATAGGAGTTCTACTCTAGCAGTAAGTCAAGAAAAGGAAACAAACCAGAAAGAAGGCTATCCATATCTGCACACGACATGATGTAGAAAATCAAGAAATTTACCAGAGAGAGAGAAAAGAGACTAAGGTTTAAAAAAACAAAACACAAGATGACTTGTATGCTGAAAACTACACAATGCTGACAAAAGAAATCAAGGTCATTCTCCAACTACGTAATGCAATTCCTAATTAATAAAAGTCCAGCAACATTTTTCTGTAGATATAGAAAAGATTTGGATTTCATCAGAAATGGTGAACTTTTAAAATCCTCTCCTCCATAAAAGCAATGCATGCACAAGGACAAAAACTGTCACATTAACTTTTTTAGAATTCTGAAATTTAACCAAATGCTTGTAGCAATCCAGAAGTATTTACTTAAGAAAATGTTTGAGTCTCCATAACAGGAAGCTTTGTGGAATTTTACACATGTCCTATTCTCAAATCCTTCTCCCTATTTCTGTGATAGTCTTAAAAACCAACAGCCTAGAACCACAGTGAAAACTAGCAGCATTAAAGACAATAGAAAGGTGTGAATAAGTTAAGAACTCTTAAATCTTCATTCTCATAGAAATGTCATTTTCTGCTCTGTATGGCAGTTTCCCAGAAAAACTGATTTGGCAAGGCTTGTCTTCATTGACCCAACTCAGTTCACTCACTACAATCTTAAATTTCCCCTGAACACATTTGTCAAAAACAATCAGCAGGAATCATTTATCATCAGAGCTGCCTGAAGAGGGATAATTTATAACAGTTGCAGCAGACAATAAGCTCAACAAAAATCTTCAAAGGAAAAACTGGGGTATGAGATGTCTAATCAAAGTTTTGGATGCTTCTGGGAATCCAAAAGGCCATGTATATGAGTAGAACTATACATGCTCTAAAAGACCTGAGAAGGCCCTAAGCTCTCACCTGTTTCACCTTGAGGCTCTGTGCAATTAGAAAATAAAGTCAGGGACATAGCTGGGACTAGCAGTGAAAATTAGCCAAAATTTAACAATCTAAGGAACATTCATTCAAACAAAATGACTAGATTTCAATGACAAGTAAGGGCAATGCCCAGCTTGGAAACCACTAAGTTAAATGAGCACTGGCTTTGGTAGTCACATATAATGAAGAATACAAACTTCAAAGAATCAGGAAATCACTAAAACATAAAGAATATCAAGGCTTGGGACTGGGAAGGAGAGATGATTGTAAGAGTTGCTACACTGTTATTGAAACTGACTAGTTTTAACCAAAAAATTTTAACACAAACAAATAAGAAAATATGGTCTACATTCTGGGGGAAAAAGTCAACAGAAAAGTTCCTGAGTATTATGGTTCAGATATGAGATGTCCTCAAAAAGCTCATGAGGTAATGCAAGAATGCACAGAGATAAAGTGATTAGATATGAGCTGTGATCTAATCAAGGGATTAATCTATTCAATGGATTACTAGATGGTAACTGTAGACAAATGGGTGTGGCTAGAGGAAACAGGTAACTGGGGAAGTGCCCTTGGGGATTATATTTTGTCCCTAGCTTCTCAGGCTCTCTGATTCCCAGCAGTCATGAGTTGAGCAGCTTTCCTCTGCTGCATCCTTACCTGACAATAACCTGCACAAAGGAATCAAGAGCACTGGTAAAGGTAATTACATGGGTAAAAGTAAAAGGACAGTATAAGTGTATTTTGTAATTTGTAACTTTTTTTCCCTTCTACCTGATATGAAAGACAACTGCTGTAATATTTTATATATATATGTATGTATGTATGTATGTATATATATATATATATATATATATATATATATATATATATATATATAGCAAAATACAATTAATATAATTATGAGGAGGATATATCAGCCTACAGAATGGGGGTTAATATCCAGAATATGCAAAGAACTCAAAAAACTTAAACACTAAAAAGAAACAACCCAATCAATAAATGGGCAAAAAAACTAAACAGAAACTTCTCAAAATAAGAAACACAAATGACCAACAAATATATAGGAAAAAAATGCTCAATATTTCTAGCAATAAGGGAAATGCAAACAAAACTACACTAAGATTTCATCTCATTCCAATCAGAATGGCAATTATCAAGAACACAAACAACAATAAATGCTGTTGAGGTCATGGGGGGGAAAGGCACACTTGTGAGGCTGTAGACTACTGGTACAACCACTTTGGAAAGCAGTATGGAGATTCCTCAAAAAACTAGGGATGAAACCAGCATATAATCCAGTTATCCTACTCCTTGGTATTTTCCCCAAAGATCTACAATCAGCATACTATAGTGATACAAGTATCTCAATGTTTACAGCAGCACAATTCACAATAGCTGAATATAGAATCAACTCAGATGCCCATTAATAAATGAATGGATTAAGAAATTGGTTATATACATACAACAGATTTCCACTCAGCCATAAAAAAGAGCAAAATATGGCATTTGCCAGTAAATGGAGAATATCATGCTAAGTGAAATAAGCCAAATTCAGAAACTCAAAGGTCTAATGTTTTCTCTCATATGCCGAAGCTAGAGTAAAATAGAGGAAAGGCAGATGGAGGGATTGGGTAACAAAGGGAAGATCAGTAATATAGGAAGAAGAGACGGAGAGGCAGAGAGAGAAATAGGTATGGGGGACAATGCAGAATGAATTCTTAAAAAATTATGTTATCTGCATATATAAAAATACCGCAAGGAACTTCACCTTTATGCATACGTAGGAAGAACTAATTGAATATAAATAAATAGATGAGTTAAAGAAAGTCTAGTAGAGAAAGGAGAATAGGAGAGGAAAGTTGGGAAAAAAAGGTAAAGATAAAAGGGAGGGATCATGAACTAAAATCAAATTCCATGCACGTCTGAGTCTGTCAGGATGAACCCAACTACTATGTATGACTATAAAGCCCTAATTTTAAAAATGGATATATCAAGTAAGTAAAAAAGTACGTAGACCATTTGAATAATATCGCAGAAAGCCTACTCATATAAGTGTATATATACGTGTATCTCCACAACCAAAGATAGAAAGCAAATTCTTCTCAAATATATTTGGAGCATGTATAAAAATCAAATATAAAATAAAAGCCCAAAAGATGTGTCAAAAAATTCTAAAGTCGCCAGGTATGGCAGCATATGCCTGCAATCCTAGCAGCTCTGGAGGCTCAGACAGGAGGATCAAAGCCAGCCTCAGCAACTTAGTGAGGCCCTACGCAACTCAGTGAGACCCTGTCTCTAAATAAAATACAAAATAGGGCTGGGGATATGGCTCAGTGGTTGAGTACCCTTGAGTATAAAGGAGTATAACTAGAACTCTAATTGGAAAAAAAAAAGAAAAGAAAGAAAAAGAAAGCTTAAAATTCCTTATATGAAGGGTTAAGGGTGTAGCTCAATGGTAAAGCCTGTGCTAACAAATGTCAGGTCCTGATATTAATCCCCAGTGCCCTCCAAAAAACCACAAAACCGAACAAACAAAAAAAGCCCTATCTGTAGAAACTAATATAATAAGAACGTCAAAGTAAGCTCATCTGAATAAAAATGTTTTATGAAAATTATAAAATCTAAAACTAAAAGAAAATATCAGTATATGTGAGATATAGTCAAATGAGTAGTTCTGAGGAATTTTACAATTATATTCCGCTCAACTACTATGCTTCCAAATCTGTTTTCCTCAGATTAACGTAAGAAATCTTAAATTTCCTTTACAGATTAACATAAGAAATAGAGATTGAGGAGGATCCTGGACAACTCCCAAACAAGAATCTGACTCTAGTCCTGGAGCACACCTGTAATCCCAGCAACTGGACTTAAGAAGCTGAGGCAGAAGGCTCGTGACCAGCTTAGGCAATTTAGTGAGATCCTGCCTCAAAATAAGGATGTAGCTAAGTAGTAGAGCATTCCTGGATTCAATTCTCAGTTCTACCACTGGAAGGAAGGAAGGAAAGAAGGGAGGAAGGAAGGAAAGGAAGAAAAAAAAATCAAGGAAAAGTTTGACTCATTATCCAGATCTGAACATAAAAGTAAGGGCAAATTAAGGAAATAACAATTTCAACAGGATATCTTACATGTTTATCTTTCCTTTCTATAACATCTTGTTTCTGTTTGCATTTTTGAGATGTCTCTTTAATGTCTGTTGCCTGTAAGAACCAGGAGGGGAAAAGGTAATTAAAAACTCAAATCAGCATGTGGCTCTACCCATCCAAATAATGTTATATGAGTTAACCTACAACAGTACTTTCTCAATTTATTTATTTCAAATTCATAATATCACAACATATATAAACAGTATAGAAATCTACAAAAGGCTATTCCAAACAATATTAAAAATACCTAGAGAATATGCTTACATACTTAACAGGCCAGATATGGTGGTACACACTGGTAATCCCAGCTACTTGGGACGCGGAAGAAGAATGATAAAAATTGAGTGCAAAGCTATCTCCAAATAAAAGGGTTGGGAATGTAGCTCAGTGGTAGAGCACTTGCCTAGCATGTGTGAGAAAAAAATGTAGACTGATTTAATGTGCCACCTCAGAATCCAAGAGCACTTCTTCAGGAAAATAATTTTAAAACATTAGGCTATATAGATTTCTACAAAAACAAATTAGGCAAAGAGATAATGACAATGTCTCAATAGCTAGGTTTCTGTTATAAAAGATAAGTGAAACAAGGGTTTTAAATATGATACTTTAGAGACTTGGAATTTACTGTCCACGTTTTTTTCACTATAAAAAAAATTTAGTAGAAACATCAATTCTGGAACCAAAACAAACAAACAAACAACAACAACAACAAAAAACCCAAAACAATTATAAACCCAAGTGTATGGTTTAGATGTGGAATGTCTCCCAAAAGCTCATGTGTTCAAGACTTGATCCCCCAAACAGTAATGTCCAGTGGGGCTTTTAGGAAGTGGTTGGATCATAAGAACCATATAATTTCATCAGTAGATTAATCCATTTGATAGGTTAATATTATGAATGAACTACTGGGAGGAGGTGGAAACTTAGGCAGGTAGGGCATGGTTGAAAGTAAATCACTGAGGGATGTGCCCTGGGACCATAGCTTATCTGTGGGCCTTTCCTTGCTCTCCACCTCTCTCTATGGTTCCTTGCTGTCAAAAGTTGAGTGGCTTTCCTTAGTCATACCCTCTTCTGCCATGATGTTCTCTCACCTCTGGCCAAAGGCAAAGAAACAGGCCAACCATGGACTGAAATCTCCGAAATTGTGGGTCAAAATAAATCTTTTCTCCTCCAAGTTGTTTTGTGTCATGTATTTTGGTCACAGTGACAAAAAGCTGATTAATACACACACCCTAACTATAACCAATCACCACGAACATGACACTGACTGATATTTATTAGTTCTAAATTCTTTAAGAAGACATGTTATCTTTGAGATTTAGTATCCTTAACTATGAAGTGAGAATATTTTTCTAGATAAAAGTATCTATAATCCTTTCTTGCTCTCAAATTTGAAATGATCAATAGGGTTCAGTACTATTTGCACTTTCAGGCATTCAAAGTGAAGTCTTGGAACATATACCCCCTGAGATAAGGGAAGAGTAATACATTTGGAAAGCAGGAATTTAAACCATTCTCAAAATAATCTCTGACCCCAAAGTTCCTTTAAAGGTTAAAAGTCATGACCATAAAGGTTATACTTTTAAAACACAAGTAATGACTATATTATTTACTCCAACAAATAACAGATTTTCTGTATCATTTTCCTCCAAAAGGGTGTATAATTACAAAGCAGAGAAAACAAATTCACAAAAGGAGTTCAATGTTTCTAGAAATACTATTATAAATCATTTTGTAACTAAAACAATCAGATTTTATTTTTCTCTTTTTATACCTTGGAATTTCTATAAAGTAGCAATCCTTCAACAGTAACAAGCTCTTGAAAGCCCTATAGTAACTCTTAGTTAAAGAAACAAAGTAATAAAATTTACAAGTAAATTAGAAAATACTTTGAAATAGCTGAAAATAATATTTGCTAAAATAAAATTCAGATAATGCAAAACTGAATAAGCAAAGTACCTTTTCTTTGATTAGAGCCTCCAAATTATGGCGTTGCCTTTCAATTTCCTCAATCCGACGTGTCATAGGAATCTGTCCTTCTTTAAGTTTTCTGACCTCTTCCTTCATTTGGTCACGGGCTAGTTTTACTTCTTCATATTCCTGACGAACATTTTCATATTCCTTGCAAATAATTCAAGAAATAAAGTTAATGCACTAATCAGCTTAAACCAATACATATTCTAAAATCAAAGTACAGGCAGAAAAAAAATCTAAAAAATATATTTTGTCACTAAAATAAGATTTTCCTCTAATCTCTCAGGTAAGAAAGGATTTAGCGATATATAAAGAAACAAAAGAAACAATTCTGAAAGGTAAAAATGAAAGAAAATTACAAAAGGAAAATAGGTCAAAGAAAAATGAAAAGAAGCATGTTGCTAGCTAGCTGGGTAAAAATGACACTCTTCATGTCACAAGAATTAATAAATATTTGGTGAGTAAATTTATAAGTGGAGTGCTAATACAGTATATACAGAAGAACACAAATATTCATTAGAGTAAATAAAAAAAGAAGAAAATTTTTAAAAAGACTGGGGAAACTAAGACTTCAGAAGATAATGTCAGAGAAAGAAAAATAATAGACACAGGGAAAATGCAGTCAAGAAGAAGAAAATAAAGGAAAAAAATTAAGAATAATGGAATTATGAAATGCAGGGGAGTGATACCACAAATACAATCATATTATTGTTTATAATCTAAGTCACTTCTTTTGGGGGGCGGGGTGCGTACCAGGGATTGAACCCAAGGGTGCTTAACCACTAAGCCACATCTCCATCTTTTATTTACATTTTATTTTGAAACGGTCTAACTAAATTGCTTAGGGCCTCACTAAATTATTGAGACTGGCTTTGAACTTGCAATCTTCCTGCTTCAACCTCCCAAACCACTGGTATTACAGGTGTACACCACCATATGCGGCTCACTTTTTAAAAAATCTAATATTATTTCCAATCTAACTTCTGAAAAAACACTAGGAAACTTTCCTTACTTATTTTGTTCCACCTATGGAGGAACATTAATCTTTAGCCCATAATGTAGACTTAGGTATGAAATATATCACACTGTGATTAGAAAAAACACAGTAGCCTCAGGAAAATTATGAAACATGAGTAGAGAACTTTAGTTAAGATATTTCAGCTACATTTGTAGCTGAATTTTTTATCAGTGGCATATCTCAAGTAAGTTCTTAATGACCTAAGAACATTCAAAGATTTAATGTTTTGACCTACATAAGTCTTTTTAGATCTAACATTTTGAAAATATCAAAGAACTAGCTTTCATGGACCAAAATCTGAAAGAATTAATACTGACTCAACTGACGATTTGTTATAAAACAACTAGCACACATCTATATTATAAAGAGTAAGAGAGGTAGAAATTGTAATATGTATACTATATAAAGCAAAAAATAATTTGAACACATAATTAATGCATTCTTTATAACTATTCCACTACTTAAAGATTCACCTATTTTGCCTCTGTAATAATTAAGACTTACCACCCATGGCCGTTTTGCTTCAAGCATCTCAATTAAATCTAAGTGTCGTTTCCTTTCATAGAACCTCTCGACATCTTGTTTGTATCTTTCATTCCTCTGAACCATTTTCTCTAGATATTCAGTTTTTTCTTTGTAAGAAGTCTAAAATAAATATTTGTTGAACAATCAGTTTAAATGAAAAAAAAATGACAACAGGTCAAATCTTTTAACAATGAAAAATAATGCCAGCAAAATTTCACAATAAAGAATTTTGCAGGCGCTTTGTAAGAGCTATCTGTCTCATCTACTTCAGGGGTAGAAACAATTCACTTAATACATGTTTGAGTATTCCTTATACAAAATGATTGGAGCCAGAAGTGTTTGATTTCATAATTTTCAGATTTTGAAATATCTGCATAGATGTTACCAATTAAGCATCGCTAATCCCAAAACCCAAAATTCAATACTCCAAAATCTGAAGTTTTCTGAGAACCAATATGACACTCAAAAAGCCTTGAATTTGCAGCATTCAAATTTTGGATTAGGGATGCTCAAACTATCAGCTTTATACTGTGAATTAACAAATACAAAGATGCACTCAGAACATGGTAGAATATATGATCACTTTTCTCTCAAAAGATGGTAAGTTAGAGGAGTATTTCAGGTGGGAGTAGTAGATTGATGTGAAAAAAGGTAAAAGAATTGAAGGAGTATCTCAAGTAGGGTAAAATAATTATAAAAAACTCAAAACAGCTCCTTTGGTCATTCCCTCTTAATTTGTGCAAAAAAAAAAACCATTTTACTACAATAAATACATATTACCAAGTACAGACAGTTATATTTGAACAGAAAGTGTCTGTTTATAAGAGTTCTCATTATGAAAATGTATTTATTTATTTTAGATGAAGGGATATGGCTAAAGATCTATTAAATAAAATACCTTTACAAATATTATGCCATAAAGGATATTTTTATTTATAAATTTCTTAAAGATGAAAATACTTAACACTGCAACTAAATATTTAGTTCTCTTATAAAGTCTACCTTTATGTAGCTGATAAAAAATACAGAGAAAGCTGGTTCGACAGAGGTGTTATATTAAATACAACATTTACATTTGCTGTATTACCTAAAAACTTTCATGGTTCCTGACAAGATATTTAGTAGGTACTGACTCAATGACAAAATATCACGATTTCCTGAGGGAAAAATCCAAAATGGTGCTACTGGTTTCTTAAAAACTCAATAACAAGTACTGCTGTTAAATTTTTCAAACTTTTATTCCTAAATGAAAATACATCTTAGACTGTTATGAAATTAATATTTAAGTGTGTTTTGTCAGCAGAGAGTGAATACTCAGAACACATTAATGTTTGGACAACAGCTTGAATGAAAACAAGTCTTCAAATTGTCAAACTTTACAATATCAAATCCATTCTCCTTTTTTGTCATTTAACTGATGTCATTATCCTGGGTTAAAAAAAAAAATCACAAATATGAATTCAATTAATGAACAGAACTATTACTTACTCTTTTACAGTTCATAACATAGAAATCAATAAGGGACAACAGACATGAGTTGTATATTTATAAATACCTCCAGCTGTTTTTCTTTCTCCCTGAAGTTTTTGAGTTCACAGTGATACCTGTGCATTTCTGGAGGACCAATTGACTTCTCAGTAGCTTCAAGCAGTTCTATTTTGCTGAGTTTTGCAAATTCTCCTACTTTGTCCTAGAGCATAAACATTAAATATCAGCAACTTGATAATTTATAAATATCTTTAAAATGTGTTTTATTCTGTGATTACACTTAAAACTTTGAGATATGAGTCTCATAAACACGTTATATATTATTCTTTAATAAAGACAACACAGCAGAAATGATCATCTTTTTGGTAACTTTTAAAACATTTCTATGTCAATAATTTATAGGTTGAAATTACATGGATCATAAACAGATTATGGATAAAAGAGAAAATAGTCTCCTGGACTGAAGTGATCACTATTCACATATCAGATGGAATGTTCCAAGTTTAAAAAAAAAAAAAGGCAATTTCAAATATCTACTTTTGAGATAGTCTGACATGAGCTGATAAATGAAAAAAACTTTCAGATTTTAAGTTTTTACTTAAGTTGGACTTATTTAATTAAACCATTATGTTTCTGAAGAAAATGAATAATGCTGTCATTAAACAGCATTCAAAGACAAATATAAAAGGTATTTAACATCCATTATCAGGATTTTTAATTCTTAAATAAATTTAATATATAACAAGATTTTAGAAGGTACACATACAAGAGTTTTAGTATATTCAATATTTATCCAAACACCTTGATTAAAAAGCTGTTTACTGACAAAATTTAGGTTCCGCAAATGAAGCACAAAGCTACTGAAACTACTCTGTACTTAAAAATACTACACTTAAACTAAAGTGACTGAGCAACTGAGATGTTTTTTATTAACTGAAATTAATAACATTATACTATAAGTGGTAAGAGTTCTTTCACAAAGAACTATTAGTATTAAAAGTACTATGTGTTCAATGTAAATGATAATCATTATAATATCTCTTGGAAAATATTTCTATTCTCATATGGCATAAACAGTAAATACTAGAAACAAAACTTCCCCATTTTTACATTTACTTCTACCATACCTGAGGTAGAAACTGGCAAAGATTGCCCACTTGAATATTTAAGGCTGCAACTTGTTCTTCAACCACTTTCTGGGTTGTAGATTTTTTGTTGATGAACCAAAAGGACTGATTTTTTGCCACATCAATCTCACGGGTGATTATAAGATTTCCAGAAGTCCTGAACCTGATGAAAGAATAATTTTTAAATATTTATTATCAAAATGCATTATTTAAGAAATAAAATTTCCGACACTCTTGTTCACCAAAGGTACCATAAAGGATTATTATGATTTTTTTAATTTCTTCTGATATTTTGACCCCTCCCAATAAGGAAATCTTGACATTTTATTAGTAGTAAAACCATAACTGGCCATGTGTCAATTACTACTTAGTCAACAATTTAAATTTTTAGCAAAACAAAATTAAAATTCAATATTAGTTCACAAACACTACCAGAGGAGTTGCATATCTAGAGTTATTTATCCTTTAAAAATAGTTATGCTATTCTTTTATCACATGCATTGACTGCATTTCAAAATGGGCCGATATATATAAAAGCATAACAGTTAAACCTTGAAATATTCCCTAGTTGGAAAATGTTAAAAATGAATACTGACTCTTACATGAGCATTTCCAGAAATCAAAATTAGCCTGCCCATACAGGTAGCTCATGGCTTCTTCACCACGTACTCTTCTCTGAATTCACAGGGAATTATATTACAAGGCTACAAAGAACATTAAGCAACATAGAATCGGAAAGAAGGGTATTTACTTATTTCTTGCTTTTAGAGGTACTACTGCTCCACACCTCCCATCTATTCATCCATCTTCTTCACTGGGAATCAGCAGCATGTGGTAAAAAGATAAATTATTGGTATCTAATGGCTAAATGATAATAATTTATAAATGTTGTCTATATAGATTAGATTGTAATCAGAATACTTCAAACACTAAAATTTTAGAACTTCAAAAATACTAGTTTTAAATCTTAATTTCCAGCAGAATGTCTAATGAAGTACCCTTACTGATTTTCCTACTATAAACAACTAAAAGAATGAATAAACTATCTTCATAAATGCATTTATCAGTTAGCATGAAAGTAAGGAGTTCTGGCCAAGATATTAAAGCAAATGGAAAACCAGAGTGAAAAAATGAAATTGATCTTCACCTTGAGGGCAACTACCCAACTAGGTGACCGTGAGGGTTTATTTGCATGATCTCCTGGCAGAGGGACTGCAGACAAAGTGCAAAGCTACCCAATGTTCAGAGTGTTATAGAAAACCACCCCCAAGAAGCTACCCTTCCTCAGTAGAAGGATAAACAACTTCTTCATCCCCACCAACACCACCAGTAGGGACAGCAAAGCAAAACTGACTGTCTCATCTATGGCTTGATCCAAGAAACAAACAAAAGGTCTCCCTGAGAATCACTAGCCACAAGTTAGCTTCAAACATGTTTGTGTTTGTATCTTTAAGTTACATAATCTACCTACAAAGTTCAAAACCTCTTGAGCTGAGAATTCAATATATTATGATCCTGGATTGAAAGCATCCAATACTCTTTGGTAAAAATTCCTTCTGTAGGAATTTACTTCATCCTCAAAGAATTAGCACAGATAAAGGTTTAAAAACAAAGCAGCTCACTGGAAACACAGACACAAGAAAACAAAGCACCAAGAACAAGCATAAATTATAGAAAGCAAAATCATAAAGATGAAAAATATAAAAGATGTATAAGATATATAAGAGATACAGATGACTAAGAAAATCTAATGATCTGATAAAATTTCTAAAAAAGGATGGGCAAAGAAAATGGGTCAGTGGCAATATGTGAAGAGATAAGAACTTTCCAAAACTGAAGTAAGACACAAAGCCATAGATTTAAGAAACTTGTCAGGTGTGGTAGTGTTAGGTAATAGCTAGCAATGAGCTGTAACATGTATGTCAAGGTCACAGGTTTACTTTAAGTTATTCTTAAAGTTTTCATTAAGTTACTGCCAAGACAGATGAGTAAATAATTTGTTGCACACAACCTGCCGAAAAACATTAGTACACAAATCTTGAGAACAAACAGATAAAAGTAAAAGAGCTACAATGGGGGTTGGAGGGCTCAAGAAAGAAGGATTTAAGGGACTCTCAACAGGGTCAAGATAAAACTAAGTTATGGTGCCAAATGTCTCCTACTAGTTCAGAAGCGGGATGGGGGGGATGGTAGGGTGGGAGTTTCTTTAGTGGACACAGGTGCACTGAGGTAACTTCTGACCAGCTGTTGACCCACCTGATGTGAAAGAGATGTTGAACACCTGATTGGCAAAGAGTACAAAAGTGTCCCCAGTTCTGATAAACGCCAAACAGTAATAATTTGGTGACAGCATTGTCTATTTTGTCATTCTCTGTTTGAGCCTTACTTTGCTTTCACTTTATTTTCACCTTCACTTCCATTCTATTGTCACTTATAATAAAGTTCTCTTGCATGGCTTTTGGTGTCTGACTTTAAATTTTTTTGTGTGGGAACACAAGAACTGAGGTTTGGAGTTTTAGCTCCTTGGTTTCCTGTGACTGTGGCCAGCAACTCGGGAGGCTGAGGCAGGAGGATTTTAAGTTCCAGACTAGCTTCAGCCAGGACCCTCAACAAAATAAAAAAATAAAAGGGCTGGATTATAGCTCAGTGGTTAAGCTCCCCTGGGTTCAATTCCTGATATCAAAAATAAATAAGTAGTACTCAACATGGCGGCAGGCGGGGAGGCAGCGCTTTCAGTACCTCCTCAACCACGTGGACAGAGAGATGCATTAGAACGTTTAGATTCTATCTGCTGAGAAACTCCCAGCAAAATTCTGCTGAAGTGAGACCTGCTGGGGAATTAGGGATTATTGGAGGTGACAGCTTGCCCCAGACGGGTGAATTTCGGCCACGGCAGCTTGGAGGTCCGGGCTGCTCCGTGCCGCCGCTGCCTGGGGACCAGCACAGTAGGAGGCGGTTCAGCACTGCGCGGTGGAGGGACCCTATGAAGAGGCTGCTAACCAAGCCTTCATGAAAAAGCAAACCAGAACTGAATCCGAGACTAGGACAGACCAGAGACAGGCCAGACCCATCCCTCCCATTGGACACCCCGGCAAGGAGTCTGGGGCCCGCCATAGCAGAGAGCTGATGTCACCAGAGTTCGGCAGATAGGATCCCTTCCCAGCGGAATTGGCTTTAGCAGGTGTGTGACTCCCACTCCCACCAGATACATACAGGTGGGAAACCTCAAAAATCTCGCCCCAGAGCTCCATGGGCGTGACTATAGGGGTCTAGGGAAGCAGAGGGGACTCCCGACCCCCAACTCCCCCTACCACCAGCAGCGTGGGTGTGACTGTAGGGGCCTAGGGAAGCAGAGGGGACTTCCGACCCCCAACTCCCCCTACCACCAGCGGCGACACCCAAGGCCTTAGCCGCCAGTTCCCAGGGGCATGGCCACCAAAGGGGTCCGGACAAATTAAACTGTGGGTTCCCAGATCACCCCTCCACAACCCTGGGGTCTGGATGAATGACAGAGAGAGTGCTCAGTAGTTCAGGAAATAGGGCACGCAGTGAGGCTGCAAGTGTAACCAGATCCTTGGAGATCGCCTCCTTAGAGCGGGGCCTGGCTGGCTGGCAGGAGGAAGAGGGGGAGGGGCCGGAGAAGAGAAACAGCTCTGGACTAACAGGACTAGAGAGACGACCAGTAGGGGAAGAGGAGTCGACTTATTGGGATTGCTGCTGGCACATAGAGGGCAGAAGGTCGGCTCGGAGGGCACAGCTCCGCCTACTGGAAGAGAAGAAAATAGAACTCTAAGACTTCATTTATCTTTTTTTTCCCTTCTTTCTTTTCCCTTTTCAATTTTTATTGTTCTTTCCATTCTCCTCTATTCTACCTATCTTTCTCTCCCTCTTTCTCTTTAAGGACTCCTTCCTTCCCCTTCCCCCTAACTTTCATCCCAAGCATTACGAATTTCATTACGGGTAATTTTCTAAATGCAAATAGGTGATTGTTTTGAGGCTGTCTATAGGGCTCCTAAATACCTAGCTATTACCAAATACCCTGATCCATTCGCCTGTTAATATCCCCCTTCAGTAGAGCAATCTTCCAAAGTAGCCAAGACATACTAACCTTCATACCATCATAGCACCCAACCTAAACATAAAGTCCTAAGACCAAACAACAGATCACTATATGCCTACAGAATCCGTAAGCCTTTTATGAATCGAGAGAATCAGCTTTAAATTACAATAAAGCCCAACATCTCTAGGCATAGTCTCCCACCACAAAGGAGAGACCACAGAGATATACAAAACCAAAACAAATTTATACGAGAAAACAGAAACATAGCAGTTAAACAGAGTTGGAAAGTAACGTGAACACCATGAAAAAACAAGGGAAAAAAGGATTACAAACAATGCAGGACAACTTAAATTTACAGGAGAACCTAGAGGCATCAGAAAAATGGACAGAGAAAGAACTCAAGGCATACCAGAATCAAATAATATGGAATCGTAAAGAAATCATTAGACAGCAAGTCCAAACAATGAAAGAATATTTTGAAAATGAATTGCATAAGCAGATTCAAGAAGCAAAAAATGAACTCTACCACGAGATAGAGATTTTTAAAAAAAATCAAACAGTAATCCTAGAAATGCAGGAAACCATAAACCAAATCAAAAACTCAAAATGAGAATATTACAAATAGACTAGATCAAACAGAAGTCAGAACATCAGATAATGTAGACAAAGTTTATCAACTCGAAAAGAATATAGTCAACGCAGAAAGGCTGGTAAGAAACCACGAGCAAAACATCCAGTGGATATGGGATGTCATAAAAAAACCAAACTTAAGAGTCATTGGGGAGACGGAAGATGGCGGCGAGGGGAGTGCATTGCCCCCGTGTGCTGCGTCACTGTGTGGGAGAATGACGAGTCAGGACTGCTAAAGGCTATCTTGTTAGGAATTTCCAGCAATAGTGGGGTGCTCCGGAACCTGGAGGAAGGATTTCCATCGCACGAGGATTGGCTGCACGGAGGGTAACAAATCAGCAATTATTCAGCAAATCGCCCCGTGGCTAGAGTCTGCAGCGCGTACTGGGAAACGAAGAGATAGCGACGCAGGGATACAGCGCTGCAGTTTCTGCCAGCCGTGCAAGCACTGTACTCAGTGCTGAATTCTGGGT